CAGTTACATATATTATATTAGCTAAGATAAACAAGAGATTCATTAACAAAAATTTATCTTTGTTAAAAAAAAGCTCACAACAACTGTATTTTCTAATAATGCCAAACGATCTTCTAAGATTTAAAAATACTTTTTTTTTTGTTAAAAACAATCAACAAAATAGTTAACAATAAGTAAAGTATACGGGAAAGCATTTTATTTTTTATAAAACAATATGAATTGTTACAATATTTTTTTTATTAAATTTTTTTCCTTACTTGAGCACATGTTTTTTTCCTTTTTCTTTTCTTTTTGTTTTTTTATGTTTTTTTACAAAATTGCTTTTGTTAATTTTTGTTAATTTTATCTTTATATGAGGTTAGCGTGGTTTGCAAATTTACAATGTAACTCAGGTTACCTTAATTGCCCCGGTTTATGAGTTTGGTGAAATTTTCTTTTTTTTTCTTTTCATTTCTTTTTTGTAATTGAATTTGGTTTTTTTTATTGTCTATTTTTTCTTATTTAATTTTAAAAAATAGTTTTAGAGAAAAATCAAGTTATTAAACTTTATAAAATAAAAACAATATATATATATATATATGGAAATCATTGTTTACCCAACACTCATTGGTAATGTTATTAAATTGTGGATTTTTTTTTAATTGAACTTGATTTTTTTTTATTGCATAGTTATTACATGCAGCCCGAGAGTTGACTAGGCCAAGAAGTCAGGTCATGGGTTTCATAGGTCGACCTGGGTCATCTCGGATCAACCCAGAAAAATTAAAAAAAATTAAATTTTTAATATTTTATATGAAAAAATTAAGAAAAAATCCATGTAAATATAGGCTATACATATTATAAATAATAAAGTTTAAAAAAATATTTTAAAAAGTTTTTTATCCCATATTAAAAAGATATTATGTTAAGCTTTTAAGTTGAAATATTTAAATAAAAAAATTTCATATCCCACATTGAAAAAATATAACTTTTTTCTTGTGAATATATAGTATATATACTAATGAGTTTCAACCCCAACTCTTCGTTGAGTTCCCACATTGAAAAAAAATTTTTTCTTGTGAATATATAGTATATATACTAATGAGTTTCAAATCCCACATTGAAAAAAAACAACTTTTTCCTTGGAAAACATGGAATATATAGATTATTGTGTTTCAAATTTCATATTGAAAAAATATAATTTTTTCCTTGTAAACATAAAGTATATATACTAATGTATTTCAAATCCTACATTAAAAAAACATAGTTTTTTTATTGGAAACATAAAGTATATATACTAATGAGTTTTCAATTCTACATTGAAAAAAGATAATTTTTTTCTTGGAAACATAGAATATATATACTAATGAGTTTCAAATTCCACATTGAAAAAACATAGTATTTTTCTTGTGAATATTGAGTATAATACTAATGGATTTCAAATCCCACATTAAAAGGATATTATATTATCCTTTTAAGTTAAAGTATTTAAATTAAAAAGTTTTTATTCCACATTGAAAAAAAAAAAAAATTCTTGTGAACATAGAGTATATATACTATTGGGTTTCAAATCCCACATATGAAAAAAAAAAAACCAGGTCTTGGTCGGGTCGCCTGGGTCATGGGTTGACCTGCTGGGTCATTGTACTGACTGGTTTTTTGACAAACTCAGACCGATATAACCCCTAGATTAGCCCGCCAACCCGGTCTGAGTTTAATAATATTTTTTTATAGTCTATTTTTTCTCATACAGTTAAAAAAAAATAGTTTTAGGAAAAAGTCATGTTATTAAACTTTATAAAGTAACAAATTAAATGACGTGAGGAAACCATTATTTATCTACATACATTGTATTGTGAATGACAATAGTAATTCAAAATGTTTTGCTTCTTTTTTTTTGTTTTTTTAAGTTTTTGTTATGATTTTTTTTAAAATTTGTTTTTGCCTATTTTATCTTTTAATATTGAAATGGTTTAGAATTTAGCTTCATAATTTATTTCTTTTTATTTTTCCTTTTTATAAGATTAGTATGGTTTACGAGTTTGTTCTGGGTTACAAGTTTGGTGGGGTATTTTTTTTAATTGAAATTGACTTTTTTATCATTTATTTTTTTCATATAGTTAAAAAAAATAGTTTTAGAGAAAAGTTATGTTATTAAACTTTATAAAGTTCATAGACTATTTACAAGTTTGGTTGGTTAACTTGGTTTATGGGTCTTGCAAGTTTAACTTTTTTAATTAGTTTTTTTATTTTATTCTTAGATACAAGGTCAATCAGAAATTCGATTTCATAATTAGTTTTGTTTTTTCTTTTATGATATTATTATGATCTAAAACAAAATCTCGGTATTTGGTTGGTGTTTGAATTTGCAATCATCTATTTGTGTTATCAAATAATTAAATAAAAAATACTAGTGGAGTCCATAACCCAATTCACAGGTTTGACATGCTAACCCGGTTTATCCGATTCACAGGTTTGATGAGTTTACCCACTAACAAGATTTATTTTTTTTGTTTTTGGTCTTTTAATTAATTTTTATTAATTTATTTTTTTATTTTATCTTTTAATATTGGATTGGTTAGAAAATATGGGGATATAATATGATTAGTTGGTATCTAAAATATACAATTCAAGTGAGTAAGTCGAAAAAAAGACGGTTGAATCAAAATAATTTCTTGTAAAATTTCTTTCTTTTAGAGGACAATATAAATGTTCTATTATATTCGATTAATATATTAAAAGGGTTATAAGAAATATCTAGTATGGAAGTAGGCCAGTATTTCTATTAGAAAATAGACAGTTTTCAAGTTCATACCCAAGTACTTATTACTTCTTGGGTTGTAATTGTTATCTTATTAGGTTCGGCCATTATAATTATTCAAAATCCACAAACCATTTCATATTTGTTTGCTTTCTAAGGATAATTGTCTCAAATAAGCATATATTTTAATCATCTAATTAAATAAAAAAGTTATTAAACGAAACAGATTCCATGACCCGAATCGTAGAGGGACTAAAATCAATTTAATTTGTCACTATCTTAATATTTTAAAAAAATTATCATCTTAAAGGTTTTTTAAAAGTTAAGTTATATTTTTATTGATCATCAAAATTGTATTTAGACCTATGAAATCGATCAATTTAAATTAAGCTAACTCCCACATGGTTTAATTGAAAACTTGAGTTAGATAAAAAGTAGAGTCAGAAAATTTTAAAATTAACTTACTTCATCAAATTTAATAACATAATTAAAAAAAATTCATACTCTTAACATTTTTTTATATTTTAAAAAATTAATTCTACCCATAATAAAGAACGCAATAATATACTATTTATTCACCATGATTAAAATTAATATGAAAATCTCAAAAGATAAAATTGAAGAAAATAGTAATTCAATAAAAAATTTAAAATTAAATATATTATAATTAAAAGAGGATATCAAATTTTATACAACTTTTTTTTAATGGTCATGATGTTTTTCTAGGAGGGGAGAAAGGCCAAGGGGAAGGAAGAAATATACTTTCCAAAAAAAACAAGTAAATTTAATGTTATAAAGATATTATTTAGTATTATGGTAGTGATTGCTTTTAAAATAATTTTTGCTTGTAAATATATTGAAATAATATTATTTTTTAATTTATTTATACTATTAGCATATCAAAACGATTTAAAAACATAAAAAAATTAATTTGATACATAAAAAAATTTAAAAATAATTTTTTAAAAAAATACTTTTAAAACAAGTGTAATCAAATATGAATGGATTTTAAAAAACCAGTCAAATTCAATTTCTAAAATATTTTGCTCAAAATAAGAAGTCCCTCGGGGTCTTGAATGGTGTATGATGGGCCAAGTCTGTTGGTCATATGGCTGGGCTAGTTTTGTCGAAAGTCGAACTCGAATTCTCTAATATTCAAGGATTGTTGGATTTAAGTAATTCTTCCATAAATATATGAAGACTTTTAACCATAAATATTGAATATCAACTAGATTTTAACATTGTATTAAGATCATCTTATAACAATAATTTTTAACAATGCTGTTCATCTACTCATACCAACTTATATTTTAATATATGTTTTTATACATTAAATATATATGTTGTTTATATTGCTGACATGAGTTTGTAAATCAAGTGATTTTTTTATCTTTATCCAATAAATTTTAAATTAAAAATTTTTATTTTTATCCAAAAAACAAGGTGCAAGCATATATATGAACACGAATTACAAAATTAAAAGTTAAATTAGATATTTATCGAGTTTGATTTTATTCATTTGGGATAGATTATTCTGATTATATTAATTTAAATTTTATTTAAATTAATTTAAGACTCAGCTGAAATTAAAAATTTGATCAACAAATTATTTAGATCAACTCGCTGACCGACCGACCTAATAACACTGACGCAATGTGCTAGTCCCTACTGAAGGAAGAAAGAAAAACAGGTGGCAGACTTCGTCGGTTTTGGCATGAATTTCGTTAAAACTGCGTGCGTTTTAGCGGGTAACATAACTTCCTTTTCTTGAGGACTTGACCTTCTCTTCCCCTCTCTCTCTCTAAGACTTAACGGCTTTCTCTCTCTACACAACAATATCCTACCAATTGCGTGCCAATACAGGCTCTCTCTGACCCTACCTTTTTTTATTTTTTTATTATTATTTTACTACTTAATTACATAAAATAAAACGTATAATCTGAATTAATTGGATTACCAAATTAGAGTAGGAGACTGATTCCGTATTTCCTCATCACATTCAAACCCTCTTCCAATCCTTTTCAACCTTAACCGTTCTTAAATAAAATTATTATTTTATTCTATTTTTAATAAAGAAATAAAAATTCTGTTTTGATTTCACCTGCTTTGTCATTCTTATAATTATTATTATTCTCTTTCTGCCAATGAAACCAAATCACATAAAAGAAAACCCAAGTCATTTCTTTTGCTTCTTTCAATAAAATCCTAGTATTGGATTTTATGAGAGAAAGAAACCGTTTCTTACTTACACAATTGGGTTAGAAGGAAATTAAGGGTTAGGTTTCTTCATGTTGGAGAAGAAGAGAAGGACATAGTTTTTCTTTCTGGGTTTTGATTTTTGGTTAGGTTAGTTCTTTCTTTTTTTAATAGTCAATGAAACAGTTCAAATCTCCTGCATATTCTCATGTCAGAGAGGTTAGTTTGATTCTGTCCCATGATTTTATTTGCTTTAAAGTTGTGATCTTTATGTGTTTTGTTTCTCATTGATTGAATTGTTTTAGTGTTAGATTGGCGTTATTGGTTTTGAATATAGTTATTATATGCGTTGTACCAATCTGGGTTGTTGAAAAGACTGGATCTTTGATCACATGCCTGTCATTTAATCAGAATATTAGTCATAAAGTTTTGATCTTCTGATGATCATTCATGTTTTTTTTTTTTACCTGAAACAAATCATTGAGAATACAATGTGTATTGATTATTTGCTGTTAATGAATCGAGGAATTCAATTGTAGAAGGACTATGGAATTTGTTTTATGATCTTATAAATGATTCTTGCAAATTCTTTGGTTTCTTGCTCAATCGGATTGTGATAGCCAATTATGATGTTCTATGTTCTTTTGTATTCCGTTGATTGTTGTTTTAGATTGTTTTATCGATATCAAGTAGGTGTGCCCAGCTATTCCTGATTAGTGCTCTGACCATGTGGCTAAGACTATGTTTAGGGTTTGCATACAAAACAGTAACTTAGTTTTATAATAGGATCTGGTGTTGTATAACAGCTTGAGTGCCTGGATGAGGCATATGAATTTGAATTTGAGTTTTAATAAGATAAGTAATTGAATAAATAATGTTTTGCAGGATCATTCTATGAAGCAATCTTGGAGAAGTGACAATAACCCTAAGGGCCCAAGAAGTCCCCAGAATCTAAAGGTATAGACAGTTGAATTGGTTTTCAATTGTGGCAGTTGTGTGTGTACTCTTTTCGAATTCAAATTATTAAACATTTGTCTTCAATGGCTTTCAGAGTATCTAACGTAATAGTGTTTGTTCTTGAAGTTTGATTTTGTAGTGTGAACAACTAAAATATATTTTTGCAATACCATACATTGCCGGTATTTTATTTTACTTTATTATTTAGATGACAAATATACCATCTGATTTTTCTTTTAAAGGGAGCAAAATCAATCCTTGAAACAGACTGAACTAGATTAGTTGTTGTGGGATATCGAAATATCATCATGTCATTCCCCATTTAATTCCTGATGGTTATTTCAGTAAGATATTATTATTCATGTGGTACAGGTAACAGCCAGATGGGATCCAGTCGAAGCTTGTAGGCCTCTCATTGATGATGCTCCAGTGTTTTATCCAACTGTTGAGGTATTCCTTTGGTGCATTTGGTAATAGTGTTATCTTATATTTCATTTATAACGTGTAGCATACCTCTTTATTTAGGAATTTGAAGATACACTTGGTTATATATCAAAGATTCGTGCGAAAGCAGAGTTGTATGGTATATGCCGGATTGTCCCTCCACCTTCTTGGAGTCCACCTTGCCACCTCAAAGAGAAAGATATATGGGAACGTGCTAAATTTTCTACAAGAATTCAGTATGTTGAGTTGCTTCAAAATAGGGAGCCAATGAGAAAAAAATCTAAAAGTAGGAAACGGAAAAGGAGATATTCAAGGATGGGAACAACGAGGAGACGCAAGAGGAGACTTACCAATTCTAGTTCAGAAGGAAATGTTGCCTCTGAGACTGATGAGACATTTGGATTCCACTCTGGTTCTGATTTCACACTTGAAGAGTTCGAGAAAGAAGCTGCTTATTTCAAAGAGTGCTACTTTGGAACGAAGGGTCTAATGGATGATGGGAATGAAACCCAGAAATGGGAGCCTTCTGTCGAGGATATTGAAGGTGAATACTGGCGGATTGTTGAAAAACCAACTGATGAGGTTAAGGTATGAAAATATGGCTCTCTATATGCCTGGTCCTCCTGTATCTTGATTTATATCTATGTTTAACTTCAACAATATTCCTCTCCTATCATATTGCAGGTACTTTATGGAGCTGATTTGGAAACAGCAACATTTGGAAGTGGGTTCCCTAAGGCTTCAGCCTTGATGACTGAAGGTGATACAGATCAGTATGTGGTATCTGGTTGGAATCTAAACAACTTACCACGCCTGCCAGGTTCTGTGCTGTGTTTTGAAGGATGTGATATCTCAGGAGTTTTAGTTCCATGGCTGTATGTTGGAATGTGTTTCTCATCATTTTGTTGGGTAAGTAATCAGAACTACTATTTTCAAAGATCTAGAGGAATAAAGTGATAACACAAGTGGGCTCCGCTAGGTTTAGTTTAATTAACTTCAACATTAGAGAGGCATACATCAAGTTTTCTGAGCCTATTGCACTAGTTATTGATGCTTTTAGGCTCATTGTCTCTCTAGCATTATCAGCTTAGTACTATAAATCGATCAATATTATTCTTTACATTCAAGCTAATATCAATTGTTTGTACTGTTTCTACTGCCTGTGTAGTTGGATTTACCTTTTTCTCATTTTTTTTACTGATTTGTTCTTCCCCTTTTCACCATTTCAACTGGTGTTTGAACAGCATGTTGAGGACCACCACTTATATTCGCTAAACTATTTACATTGGGGTGATCCAAAGATATGGTACGGAGTACCTGAAAGCCATGCTACCAATTTGGAGGATGCAATGAGAAAACATTTACCTGATTTGTTCGAAGAACAGCCTGATCTACTTCATGGACTGGTAAGAAGATGATTATTTTGTATTTTAATATTCAGATCTTAAATGAGTTGTTTAAGAGGTTATTTGTTGATAAAAGCTGGAAAAGTTCCAGAGATGTCTGAAGAATGAAGATGAAAGAGCACAAATCAAACAAAAAGGAAATGGCATTAAATAGCTGTCCAATATATGAACCTTGAAAATGATTTGTTCTGCCGATGCTTCCAGCCTGAGTGCCATACTACTAAATCATTTAACTGGAGTCTTTACAAATTTTGAGCTAGTAATGGCCCCTGTAATCAATGCATCAGTGGCTAGCTTTCTGTAAATTTCTTAGCTCAATGATTAAGTTGATCCATTGTGATGGCTCTATCATATTATGTAAAGAATCCATAAGGATTAAAGGCTTTTGACCTTTTGAGTTGATCCATTGTGATGGCTCTATCATATTATGTAAAGGATCCATAAGGATTAAAGGCTTTTGACCTTGCTTCGCATCCAATTTTTGTAAGAAGTTATCTAACATGGTAATTCCTTTTTTGGGTACAGGTAACTCAACTATCTCCTTCAGTTTTAAAAGCTGAGGGTGTACCAGTTTATCGGGTGGTGCAGCACTCTGGGGAGTTTGTTCTAACCTTTCCTAGAGCATACCACTCTGGCTTTAATTGTGGCTTCAACTGTGCAGAGGCAGTGAATGTAGCCCCTGTTGATTGGTTAGCACATGGACAGCATGCAGTTGAGCTTTACAGTGAGCAACGGCGCAAAACATCTATATCCCATGACAAGCTACTGATGGGAGCAGCTCAGGAAGCAAACCGTGCCCTTAGGGAGCTATTACTTCTTGGAAAGGAAACTCCTGAAAATTTAAGGTGGATGAGTGTCTGTGGGAAGGATGGAGTGCTTACTGCAGCAGTTAAGGTACTCTCTCTCTCTCTCTCTCTCGTGTTGAGATGCATACATGATAAATGCTTGTATATTCAGATACTTACATTATTGAAAGTCTACTCGAGTACCATCTAGAGTACTGATTCCTTCAAGATGATACTATTGACAGACAAGGGTAAAGATGGAGGAGGAAAGAATAAAGTGCCTTCCGACTAATTTAAAATTGCAAAAGATGGAAAAGGACTCAGAATAAAGTGCCTTCCGACTAATTTAAAACTGCAAAAGATGGAAAAGGACTTTGATTTGCAAAACGAGAGAGAATGTTTCTCATGCTTCTATGACTTGCATTTATCCTCTGCCAGCTGTAAGTGCTCCCCTGAACGATTTGCATGCCTTCAACATGCAAGCCATTTTTGTTCATGTGAAGTAGACCATAGATATGTCCTTCTCCGCTACACTATGGATGAATTGAACACGCTGGTTGATGGGTTGGAGGGAGAATCATATGGTCTGAAGGTCAGGGTCTCTGAAGAACAGGGATTAGTTTCTCTTGGTGATAATGGCACTCGTGTTTCTGAGCTGGAACTTAAGGGTGAGGAATTCCAAAACAACTATTCTAAGAGGAAGGAAAGTCCACTTCGTTCTAAAAAAACAGAAGAAAAATTGAGCACCAAAGGCTCTTGCAGTTTTAATAGCAATACTTCTTCAGAAGTAATCCAGTCAGAGAGTTATCACAACAGCTTTCCAGTAATGAAAAACAAAGGTAAGGTGAAGCAAGAGGGATGCATTGATTTGAATATTGATGTTATGTCTATCGATCAGGGAAGTAAGCATCTGCTTGAATCTGATGGCTGTGATAACCAAGCAATCTCATATGTGAAGGAGACACATGGTTCACCATGTATGCAAGAGATGCTTGGCAGTTCAGATGCAGCAAAAGAACAAGACAGGAAACAAGCTGTTGGAGATTGTGAAGCTAAGTTACAGGATTTGTCAAATACAAATGACCTTTCTTATCCAATGTTTACTCAGGATACTTGTGCATCTCGTAATAAGTTGTTTGGGGTTGATCTTTTGTTTCCACGTTCACATTCAGTGAGGCCAGCAAAGAGCTTCAAAACTGAAATGAATAAGGGTGGCTTAGATGTAAGACCTGCAACTGACCAAAGCATTCCAGTAAAGAAATTGAATCTTTGCGTAGAACCAATAAATGTAGGATCCGTCATGTTTGGAAAGCTTTGGTGCTGTAAGCAGGCCATATTCCCTAAAGGTACACTGTTGTATGATGTTTGCGTGGATTTTCTTATTCATGTTTCTGTTTATGCTATTCATTTTATGTATTGATATATTCTTTCAATTTTGGTTTATTTTTGCAGGATTTAAAAGCCGGGTTAAGTTCTTTAATGTGCATGATCCCATAAAAAAATGTACTTATATTTCAGAAGTACGGGATGGCGGGCCTCTTGGCCCTCTTTTCAAGGTTGGTTTTTTTCTTTATGTATCTTCTTGTGTTTAGGATAGATGAAAAATATCAATTTATAGTTTTATAGTTGAACCTGTCTGGCCTTCGAAATGACACTCTGAATTTCAGGTATCTTTAGAAAAATTCCCGGGTGAGACATTAGCAGCGGATGTTTCAATTCAGAAGTGCTGGGAGATGGTGATGCAAAGACTAAATGATGAAATTGGAAGACGAAACAGCCTAGGAAAAAGAAACCTTCCCCCTTCGCAGAGTATTAATGGGATTGAAATGTTTGGATTCCTCTCCCCACCAATTGTTCAGGTATACTTCTACATGTCATATTTAATCAGTGGCTTCTGTTCCATAGAATTATTGAATCTAATAGCATTCGCTTGATAAGACTTCTGTAATATTTTCTAAATTGGAATTACATAATATATTTCAGTTTGCAGCACACATGCTGTAGAGGCACGTTGTGTTGCCCACATCTGATTGTGGTATCTGAATTCAAATGTTGACTCTGACAAAATTACTTTCAGGCTATTGAGGCTCTTGACCCTGATCATCGTTGCGTGGAATACTGGAATCACAGGCTTGTTAATTTGAGGAACACAAGGGAAGCCAAGCAGCCCCCATTTGGATCAAGTTGCTGTCTCACAAAAATGAAGGAAAAAATTGATATTAACCTTTTGACACAGGAACCTGGTAGCTTATTCATAGGAGGTCATCGCGCAGTTGATGACAATGTGCAGCACGCGATGCGAGGCTTATTCAAGAAAGCTAGTCCAGAAGAGTTGAAAACAATGCACAGAATACTCCGCAGTGACGCACAAAGTGCTGAGCGAAGAGTAGCTTTCACAACACTGATGGAGGAGATTCAGAGAACAAGTAGATAAATAAAAAGAACATGTTTAGGTTCCATCATTCTTTCTCATTGAGAGTAGCTTTACCATAACTTTCTCATAATTCAGGCCCATTTTTTCAGAAGTTCATATAAGGGAAAGAGTTCCCAGGCACGAGTCACGCTCAAATATTTTGCAGCGTGCCTGCTCGTAATGTAGATACAGTCAATCTTGATTGCTGATGCCAACTGACCACAAGGGTGATTTTGTACATTAGGAACCCTTGTTCCCACCATATTCCTTTCTAAATTTCATTGAGTTCTAACTTGGTTTCCTTTCTGTATTGCCTTTGATTTATAGATGAATATTTCTATAAGAATAAACTGAGGTCCAAATTTTGCAGTAGATGCAATTAGGACTGACACAGAGCGAACTCATAGCTGTCTAGAATCCAACCAAGTTTCTAAAGGCTATATTCCCAGGCATGGTTGGAGCTTTCTGCTCCCAAGATAATAATGGGAACATTATTCTGAACGTACAAAAAAAAAATCTATTTTTTTAATTTTTTAATGGTATTTTGTTTGTTTTACAATGTTTTAAAATAGAAAAAAAATTATATATTTGATAATGATTAATATGCTTCATGAATAAATCTCGATGTCAATCAATGTCAACCGTGAAAACAATGTTTTTACACACAATCTATGGTGTTTCCCTTTAGTTTTTGTTAATGGTGGTTAATCATGAATTTTTATTTTAAATTTTAGAATTAGAACAATAATTTAATTTCTTTCAATTTAAAAACCAATTAAACCTATAAATATAGATTAGGAGAGATTCTGAAACGCCAAAAGAGATATGGTATCTTTAATAGTAATAGACTACACACTCGAATATTTCAAAGATGCCACATTTTGGTGGAGGGAGAACTACATTCCAATTAGAGAATAATATATATATACATACATATATATATATATATATATATATATATATCAAATAAAATTATAGATTTTTACAGCAACATTAACAATTACTTTATAAATAATTATATATAGACCTTAAAAAAAATTAAAAATATATTCATATATATTCAATGAAAATAAAATTGTTAGTGGCATATATATTCAATGAGAATAAAATAAATACTTTATTATTTTTTAACTATAAACTTCTATATAAATTTATCAAATTAATTATTCATTTATTTTCACATATAAACACATAAAGATTATCAAGATATATATTTTGTTAATTAAAATTTATTTTTCATATCATGATTAGATTTTATTACAAAAAAATTTTATTAATAAAAAAATTATTAAAACAAAAAAATAAATAATCAAGGAAAGAGAATTTTAACTAAAGACATTTTTGGCAAGTTTTAACCAAAGATTTATATAAAGAGAATTTTAACTAAAGACATTTTTGGCTAGTTTTAACCAAATATTTTATATATATATATATATATTTAAATTAAAAAAACTCATAAATAAAAAACTAAATACTCTATACTTGAGAATTGTTTAAAAAAAAAAGTCTTTCTACTCTTTTTTTACTAGAATAGTTGTTGGAAAAGCAATCTCTCTTCTTATTCCCTCTCTCTCTAGAAATACAACTGAGGACCAATTTTTGTTACAAATGAAATTCGAGGACTAATGTATACAAACCTCAAACAACAATGATCAAAATGCTTAGATATATTTTTTTTAAATCTCTACAATTTTTTCAAGGAAAAGATGTTGTTTTATACCTCGAACATTCTAAACGACATAATTTTGATCTTGATGAATAATATAGAGTATTGTCAAACCCACAGTACATATTTGTCTAGAGCTACAATCTATTTATAATAAAATATGTTCTTTTATTTTTTTTAATTGTTAATTTTATTTTTTTTCTTCTGACATAAATAGAATTGACTAAAAAACGATCTTACAACTATGATATGAGTTTAAGGGAAACCATATGAACAAGGAGTTGTCAGCCAATTAAAGCCATAGGTTCATGAATTCTGCATCAGATTTACATTTAAACGATCTTACAAATGCCATGAAAGATCATTACCCAATTGATTGTTTTGATGCTGACAACAAGCACAAGCCTAAAGCTGCAAAAGATCCAGCTAGCAATACAGTACTTCTTGATTGTCTTCATTTCTTTAGCAAGAACCCATCAATGGACAAGAATCATTCTTTGAAACTTGGATGCCAAAGCCACACAAAGAACCAAGAAAACAGTCCACACCTCAGTGCACAAGCAAGCCGCATCTGATTCTCCATGCTGATGAACTGTAAACTCTTCATCATCTGCAGTGCTTGGAACAAATGTTCTTGGAGTAGGACGAGGAGGAGAAGCAGGAGTTGGTGGCGGGCCAACCTTGTCTGGTTTTGAAGAGTTCTTCCCAGATTCAGTACCATAAACTGAGTGATCAAGAAGGTTATCTATGCAATGAACTGTAATGGCAGCATTGGTGTAGATATCAGGATGAGTGAGACGAGAGCCATCAAGGGTGAAATTTGATGCAGAATTGTTGGTGACAAGTATGGACTTGTCAAAAAGGAGAGTTGGAAGGCGAGAGAAGGTCTTAAATTGCTGGAGATCAGCGAAAGAGAGGCGTTGAGGGACAATGTGGTAAGGGAAGATGTCAGGGTCAGCGGAGGTGGTAATAGGAGAAAGAGAGTTGTCAGACGGGATAAAGAAAGTGGCGGAGATTGGGAAGGTGGTAGAGTCAGCCATGCTGAGGGCAATGGCCCAGTTCTTGAAATCTCCTGTACCAAGTATCGCATCAATGATGTTGTAGATTTGTTCTTGAAAGACGAATTTGAGGCCATCTTGTTGCGGTGTAAATGGTGATGATGGTGTTGGTGGTAGTGAGAAGGTGGCGGTGAAGATGGAACTGTTGGTTGGAGTTGGGGCAGGACTGGGGCCAAATGTGGGTGTGGTGGTGGAGGTGGAACTGCTGGTTGGAGTTGGGGCTGGACTGGGGCCCAATATGGGGGTGATGATGGTGGGAGTTGGGGCCGGACTGGGGGCAAATGTGGGGGTGAGGGTGATTTTGTTTGTGGGAAATGGAGTAGGGACAGTCGAGGTCGAGGGTGTGGTTGTGGGAGTGAGGGTGGTGGAGGTGGTTGTGGTGGTATTATTGATGGGAGTTGGAGCAGAAGAGGGTGCAGGAGTGGGGATGGTCATGATGGGAGATGGTGCAAATGTGGGGGAGAGGGCGGTTTTGCTGTTGGTATTGGTGATGGGAGTTGGAGCAGGAGTGGTGGCAGAGGTCGGTGAGGGTGTGGAGCTAAAAGTGCAGATGCGATTGAAGGTGGAGGTGGCTGTGGTGGTGGTGAGGAGGAGGAGGAAAGAGAAGATGTATTTGGCCATCAAGAGAGAGGTTCTTGATTTTCTTGAATTTGGTTACCTTCAGTTGAGATCTTCGCGAGTTCTTCTAGGTTTGTGTGTTAAAGAGGAGAAAATCTAATAGAGATGAGAGCCTTATTGGCTTCATGGTTCCTTTAGGTGGAGAGATTGTGTCCAGCTTATAACTAACTCTTCCCGCCAAAAAACTGTTGAATAAAAGGGGTGGTTTTCCTGTAATTATGATAGATTGTTAGTGGCATTTTGAATTTCTCAAGGCAATTCTGTTAAAATCATAGTCCAGCTTATCATAAGAAAAAAATATTGATGTCTAAGTACAGAAAAACACATTTATTGAAATATTTTCCATGTGGTCTTTTAAATCTCTCCCATCACCAAGAAGATAGAGGTGGGATACTTTGTTCATTTCTGAAGAAATTCGCAGGATCGACAGCAGTCTTCACATGTACCAATCTGTCAAAATTATTCTTGAAATATTTGAGGCCCCAGATGCTTGCTTGTCTATAACTTGTGTTGCCTGCAGGATTATTTATCCCTGTGTCAAGATCTCTGTAATTGACATAAGCAGCTTTACGAGTTTTTGAAACATAAGGAGCCAAGTAACTGTAGAGTCTTCTGATCCAGCTTATATGCCTCTTAGTTGCCACAATCCCCTCTTCATCCCAATATATTAGGTGTTGAATCTTGTATATGTTCTCTGCTCTATGTGGAAAAGGGATGCTAGACTCTGAAATCTCACTCATTTTTCCTCCGTAAGGGCTGAAGATCAGTATTGGTGTGTTGATGTCTTTGTCGAAGAACCTTTCCCATATCCCCTCCAATCCAAGTTCGGATATAGGTTCCTTGACGTGGTCTGATTTCGCTTTGAAATTCCTTCTAGTTGAAGGAGTTCTATCAAGCAAAACATCCAAGGATGAATTACTTGGGAATCCATCGAAGTAGAGGACAGACTGAATCCAACTCATTTCAATGCAATCTTCTTTTACCAAACCGAGCTCGGGAAAGCTGTCTTGTATCAATGGAAGAAGTCTATCAATCCCACCAAGAAACAATGAATTGAATGAGGCTTGTATTGTTGTGTTGGACTTTCCTTCTTCAGTGGAATTGACTCTATTCAGAATAATTCTGATGAAGAGATCTTCATGAAGCTTATCTGCTAGAACTGCCACCGATGGACAAGCTTGGAAGCATTTTGTTCCAGTGTTCTTTGAACATTGAAAACAGTCACAGAAGGTGGAGCTGAGACTAGACTTATTTTCCAAGCAATAACCACACCAAAAGTATTTCCTCCACCACCTCCGATGGCCCAAAATAGATCTTCTCCCATTGATTCTCTGTCGAGAATTCTACCTTTAACACAACTAATTGTGCATCAATTATGTGATCTGCGGCAAGGCCATATTTACGCATCAACATGCCATACCCTCCTCCACTGAAGTGTCCTCCAACACTTACGGTAGGGCAAACACTTGCTGGGAAAGCAAGAGTTCTGCTTTTCTCAGCAATTCTATAGTAAACCTCGCCTATTGTCGCCCCAGATTGAACCCATGCAGTTTTATTCTCCGCGTCAACGTTGATTGTTCGAAGATTGATTAGATCAATTACCACAAATGAGAACGTAGAAACATAAGAAAGACCTTCATAATCATGGCCACCACTTCGAATTCTTATTTGCATGCCATGCTTCTGGGAGCAAATAATGGCAGCTTGAATGTGGGATATGTTGGTGGGAGTAACAATAACTAGAGGTTTTGGGGTGGAACTTGTGTTGAACCTGAGATTATGAATAGAAAACTGCAAGATTGATGAATACGAGGAGTTGATTGGGCTGTAAATGAGCTTAGAAATGGAGTGGGAGTTTTGGGAATCAAGGCATTGAAGAAAACTCTCGTGAGTGTGAGCTGAAGTCACCCACGAGAACGAAAAAATAAGGAAAAACAGGAATGACAACATTGGAAAAAAGCTTGGAGAAGTCATGTCCAGTATTTTCTTCTTTATAGAAGCCCAGAAGGGACTTTATTTGTAGCATGCATACAGGCTAGCTCTTGCTGCTCAAGAGAGAACAAGAAACTGAAAATAATTGAATGTGAATGTTGAAAAACACTGTTTCACCATCTAGCATCCAGAGCAACATGGGAACAAATTCAAGAAATGAGTGGTCAATTTGCATGGTCAGACAACATGAAGTTTGACCATTCAGCATTTGTTCACAGGCAAACTCTACAACATATGCCTTTGACAAGTCACGAAGGCCACAAATTTCACTTTACTCCTGCAAAATATTTAACCATTCTACAATTAGACTGGATCCATTCCCATACAGTTGGTGAAAATGATATATCATTCCCTTCTTCCATTTTCCATCTTGGCAAATACACTGTGCACTAGCATTGTTTGCTGGCTTATTGCACGAAGTTAAAACGTTTTCTTTACCAGGATTAGACTTTTCTAATATTTGAACTAGCCGTTGTAGAAAAGTTCTGATTAACCCATTTCCAAACTCCTGGCTTTTTTTCCACAGTAATTAATGAAATGAAATAGCCTGCAAATCTCCAAGCATGATGGATACTCTATCATTCTTACTCTGAAGGAACTTCAAATGAATGAGCTTATTCATCCTTAACAAGCTAAGAAATTCTAACAGCAGTAACTTCTCATCTTCTTATGCTGACCATGTCAAAAATATATCCTCATGTCTTCCTTATCTGTAGTTTATGCATCGTTGGAATCATTCAGTGCTTGAACAATGTATTCAGCTCGGCTTAATTTAAGCCTTGGAACATGAATGAACAACAAATATTTCATGAGAAAAATTCAACACTACAGCATAGATGTATCAACTAAGATTTTGAAAGTTATGAGAGCACTCTTTATTATCACATGAATGAGGTGAAAATGCACATCACAGATATTTGAAATCTACAAGCGTATATGCAAGACATGCAATTAAGAGTTTATGAATTTGTTTTGGAAGGCGTCAAAAACCACCTCATGGCATCTTGAGACTGCTGTGTCAATACCAGAAGATTTTACATATTAAACACGCTTTCAAGCACAAAAAGCAACAATTACAGAGTCCGAATATCATATTAGACTACTGTATGCTTTATACATGCTGTATATGACACCAAAACCCGCCCATTTTGAAACAAATGTCACGTATGAATCATCTTTTAAACGAGAAATTATGTGAGGTCATTCTCATCCAATGGTTCTTCCTCCTCTTTGCCAGCATCAGTCTTCAATGCACTAACATCACCAGTCGGTAGCTTTCTTGCTAGCTTGATTACCTGAAGCCATGTAATTCAATTTAATAAATGCAATCGGCTGAAGAAGTTATTAATTTAGTGGAAGAGGCCTGGGGTGATGGTACATCAAGTTCTCAATTCTCAAATGACTACCAAAGCCCCAAGGTGTTGATGACATCATATCAAACAAAATTTCATGGTCTATAATCACTCCTGTAAGCATGTCGCATAATTATAGAATGAAAAGGTTGCCAATTAGTATGCATCCAAGAAACCTGAAAAAGTTTCTTGTAGATATGTGAGTACATCCATGACCAACAATCAAAACACAACAGATTACTGTCAATGTGAGATGAGCAGATGCATTTTCAACTAGCAGAGTGAAAACAGATTAAAGATTTACCACATGGTCAAGATTTGAAACTGTACTGGACTGAACCACACGTTTGATTTCTTCAACATCACCTTCTGTATAAGCCGAAAGGAGTTTTCTGGCACAGCGGTTCTGGTCACTTCTCAGAAAAGCATCAACCCTGCAAAAACACAAGCAGTAAATCCAAGTGTTACCAATTACTTCAAGCAAGGCAATGACAAATGGGCAAAGGGTGAAAACAATAGTACCGGTCTTCTTAAGAAAAAAAAAAAAAAAGTTCTTTCAAGTATTAAACTGTGTTCTCTGAGTGTTATTGCACTTTAATCTGAGTCCCCAAAAAGACAAGTGTACAAGCTGGTAGATACACAGTTCTACGAATAGTTCTTAAAAGGTACTGGACTTGTTATCAGCAAGAAAAAATCAAATCACTCAGGAGAAGTTACTTGGAACTCAAATTCTATATCTTCACGTGACTACAAAACATTTTGCAGAGATGTCCACCAGAGATTGTTGTCGGGGAAAGAAGACTTCTTACTATTTTCTTGCTACATCTCATAATGATTGCAATCAATAATGAAAACTACAAGGACTTACAATTTAGAAGTTTCATCAACTCTGAAAAAATATAGAGTACTGCTTTAATATTTTTAGTCATGTCAGATATTGAAGATGCAAGACGAAGGTGATTTCAGACAGCAAAGTCATGTCAGATATTGAAGATGCAAGACGTAGGTGATTTCAGACAGCAACTTAGATTTTAATATCATCATTCAACAGCGCACTAACTAGTACCAATTATTATTGTTGTTGTTGTTGTTGTTTTACGACTGCTACAACTTTGATTTTAATCTCATCATTCAACAATGCACTAACTAGTACGATCACCACCACCACCACCATCATCATCACATTGTTAGGAAATCAAAAGAACCTACTTGGCAAAACCAAAACCATCATATTGATAGAACATCAAGCAACTACAGCATACTGCCAGAAAAGTGTGCATACTGTGAGCAATCATTGTAGCATTTCTCTGCTTGCTTGAAGTCATGAGCGTAAAGGTATACAATAATTGCACCAAGATATGCCTGTGATAAAAAAGGATAATGTAAGATGAACAAAGTTTTGTGGACATGAAAAAATAAAATGACAGAAAAAAAAAAAAAACAAAGGAAAACTAAATCATACTTCAAAGTGCAAAGAGAGGAAATATGTCCTCAATGCATAAATGCCATGTTGAAGAAACAAAAGAGAAGAGAAACTGAGGTGTCTCAGAGCATGATTAGCACTAGGTGTCTTTGTTGATGTAGTTTTATATACAAATTTGAATGAAGGGAAACAACAAACAGATTGGGAAATCAATAGATAAACCAACTTAAAGTTACACCTTGCACTGGCTATTGGTGGCACTGCATTTATCCGCTGCTAAACCCAATTGCAACAAAGAAGATGCAGCATCACTATACCTGCAGGCAGTAAAACCACAACAAGACTTAGAAATTAGAATTGTCTAATAGCATCGTCGATTGAACATTTTGCAGTTAATGCATACTGCTAATACACAATAAACCCTTACTTTTCAAGCTTTACATACACACTAGTGGCAGCACGGTATAGATCAAAGGCCATCTGTTCTTTGCCATCTTCTTCAAGAATAGCAGAAGCATCATTGTACATCTGAACAGCAGCTTCAGGCATAGCATCTTCCAGAGCACTATGAGAGGGGAAAGAAAATACTTTTCAAAGATTGTCCAATTTGTTAAGCTACACTGAACATTTTGTGCCACAAGGAGAAAGTATGCATGTCAGCTGAAGTGGCAAAAGAAACTAAAATGAAAATTCTCCTGGTGTTGAAGGATGAAGATACTAAGTGCAACTATGAATTGAGAAAGGATAAAAAGCAGAAAAATCAAAGTAAGTTATTGCACTATAAAAACACACGCTTGGAAAGAAGGGCAGGGGGGAGCAAATCATTTGTGATCATGGAATAAGCATGCTACACGCAGATGCCAGTGATGTAGCATGCAAAGTGGACATACCCTAAGGGCCTAAATTTGAGTTATTTGTTTACAGAGCATTTTGAAGTTAAACTGGTATCCAGATTGAGCCATGGAAGAAATGAGAATATGATAGACATTAGGATCTTGACTGGCTACAGGATGTGAATAGAAAACCACATCAAAACTTTGTGAACCATTAAAATTTTTAATGGCACTTCCAATAACTCTCTGAAGTTTTCTGATTTCTCCATGCCATAAATGAGTTCCCAAGTGCTTGACCGAAACAGCTACATAGAAATGGTAAATTTTACATGCAAAAACAGGTAAACTAAATCTTTACCGAGCAGCCTTAGCTAGAGCATCTGATGCCGGCTGTGGTCTCCCACACTCCATGTACAACTCAGACGCTCTTCTATAAAAGTCAGTGACTTCATTCCAGTTGCCTAGTTCCTTTGCTAGAGCAGCAGCAGACTCCATGTGTTTAGCAGCATCCCAAGGTCTGATTTTCTCATTAAGAAAATAACTAAATGCAAATTTATGCACATTAAAACCAAAAAATATTAATACTTTATGAATCACCCCTAGACTAAAGTCAGCTAGAACAAGGATACGAAGAGAGCATCTCTTGTCCTTTGGAAGCCTTCTCGAATGCTTCTTTTGCTTTCTCATTTTTCTTGGCGACCCTGAACAAGCTAGCTATAACAAAACAATCAATAATAATAAAAAATAAAAACCACCATAATTCGTGCATTATGCATAAAAACAATCCACAAATACAAAATCTCAATCACTAACCAGCTTCTTCATACAAAAGAGTGGCATTTCTCCAATCGGCACTCCATCTTGTAAGACTCAGTTTAGTTCTAACAACAAAAGAAAAGCTAAATTAAAACAATGAAAATTACTCCGATCCAAGAAATGGGTCACCTTCAAATTTTCGTAACATTGAAGAATCTCAAAAACCCAACATTCTTTCTCTCAAAAAAATAGCAAAATCACCAAATATTCAAATGGGCAGATTGGAATTCACATTAACAATCAACCCATTTGAGCTTTTCCTGTCCTAATAAAAAAAAGTCGAGTTATTTTTGCATTTCTTAGTAATCTACGACTTCAAAAATCCAGTCTTTAATGCCATATCCAAGAAAGGAAAACCAAGTAACATCATCAATACTAAATCATTTAGAACCATGAAAAAAAAAAAGCAGATTGGATCCTTTCACGTAGAGAGAAAGCGGGGAGAGGGGAAGCTTACAATTTATCGGCCTTGGTCATTAGCTTATTGGGATCGGAAACGGGCATGATGATGGTGGTGGTGGACTAGTTTTCTCTGTTTTTTTCCTTCTCTCTTTTCCT